GCTTCTTGGTTGTTATTGATGCCCATTTCGACGACATTTTCAATTTGACGATTGATCATACGGTTGACAGCGCCATTACCCATGAAACCGGTAATTTCCGAAGTGCAAGCGCCCAAAGAAACTTGAGTCTTCATGGAGGTGATCTTGATGGAGCCCCACAAGATTGGAATTTTGTATTTGATGGTACCGGCAATACGCAAATTCTTCAAACCAAAGTCCAAAGTACCTTCACCTTCGTATTGAACGGAAAGACCCAATTGACGCATAGCATCCAAAATGCTGTTGGTATCATATTTCGAGGCGGAAGTAACAATATCCTTGAACAAGAAATCGAAGGTGATCTTGGACTTGATGACGTTCAATTTGAATTGTTGAATAACGAATTTATCCAAACCGTCAATGCGGAATTTGAAGACCTTATCGATAGTTCTAAAGGGTTAAAAATAAAAAGCAGTGAAGTTAGTTCAGGTGTTGATGGGGGGAAATAGTTTGAAAAAGCTGTTAGAAAGTTAGTATAATGAAAGCTTTTCTATTGGAGTTAAGAGAAATCTTAAAAAATCTTAAAAGGAGCTATTCATGATCTGAGTCATACTTTTAAAAAATATTGCCAAATTAAGCTTTGAAAATTAAATAATTTATCCAAAAAGCTTATTAGCAACACAGTGCGGAAATCTTGGGAAAATCCGAATTAAGTCGTTGGAAACATATTTTAAAAACTTTTTAAAAGGATTGTGTTAATAAACAATATTTAGAAAAGCATTTCCTTAATAAAGCTCTTATTGATTAAATTTTTGTATGATGATACAAAAACTTTAAAGCTTGAAATCTTGTTAAGCGTAAAGATAATGGAGGCTTTTTTATTTTATAAAAATTTAACATAAAATTTTGGAAACTGTTTCATAAAAGAGCTTTGACAACAGATTGGGAGAGAAAATTAAAAAAAAGCTTTATAAAAGCTCTTAGCTTAAAAAACTCTAATTTGAACACATGTAAAGTTTAATATCCCTTGAAAGCTTGGCTATCAAAAGTTCTGAAAGATTAAAAAATCATCCTAAGAGGAAGTTATTCGTAAAAAGTGTATAAAAAGCTTAATAAAGCTATGAATTAAAAATCTCTCATATTTGTTAATTTTGGTCTAAAAAGCTTTAAAATTCACAATTCAAAATCAAAATGAATTTTTAATTAAAAGCTTAGTTAACCAAAAATGCCTAGAGCATGGGAAAACATCGCATTAAAGCTTTGTGAACGGATGGAACAAAAATTACTCAAAAAGAAGATTTAGATCGGTTCAAAAAAGCTTTTAAATATTCAATATTGAATTTCACATGAAAGCTTGGTTAGATAAAAGTTCTGAGACATTGAAAACAATTCTGTATTGAAGCATTGGAAACTAAAAATATTATTAAAATCTTTGAATGTATACTATTTGTAAAAAGTTGTAATTTTTTAATTGTGTTTACTCAATTTTGTCACTTGAAAGTTCAGAAAGCTTTTTAATTGAAAAAAAGCTTTTCAAAAAATTTTCACTTCAAAGCTCTGCTTATACTCAAAATATTTCTCTTTTCTTATGATATTTTTTCACACTCAAAAAGCATTCAAAATTCTCCTCAAAGCTTTGTGGGTTATTGAAATATTCTCTCTCTTTATCCTCTAAGCTTTTCATGCCGATTGTTTTTTTTTTTTTTTTTTTGTGATACTTACTCAAAGATACCCTTTTTCAATTCAATTTCAGCTTCGCGAACCTTCAAGGGAGCTAGTGGGGGAATACCGTATTGGGGCCAGCCACAAGGCATTTGCTTTTGGATTTTACGGATCATGCGACGTACTTGCCAGGAGACAATGAAGCTGGGAGCGACTAAAATTCGGAAAACATTAATATAAAAATCTTCACAAACAAAAATTTCCTCAAAACTTACTTTCAACGGTACCATCTTGATTCTCAGCCAAGAAATCAATTTCACCATCACTATCAGCCATCTCGGCCAAGGGGCGTAGACCCTGTTGGGGCAATACGGTGCCGGCCAAGGCAACCGTGGCAAAAGCCAAAACCAATAAGAAACGCATGATTAAAATTTAAATTATTTTCTAATAGTAACTTTTCCAATGAAATGCTACTCGAGAACTGTTTTCTTTTTGGCCATAACATTGGCTTTTATAGAAGAGGTCGACCGATTTCTTTTCTCTGGCATACCTTCGAGCCCGAAAAAAATAGTCAAATCTTATCGGCTTTGCAATCGTCACAAAAAAGTTTTGATTTTTCTTTTTTTCTATTAATATTGCAAATTATATAGGGGGGTACTAATAAATTATCAAGTTGTTCAGAAAGATATAGCAAAAGTGGTAGCTTATCTATTGATTTGTATTGGTCATTATTATTCGGTAGCAAGTGTTTGAAAAAAAAACAACCGCAACGAACATTTTGTTGGTAGGTGAATGACATGCCTTCTTAGCTATATGGAGGAAAGAATAAATAAATCGTGATGTATAGAGGTCTTATCTTTGGAAATATTTGAATACGATGGTCTGATTTTTTCAGTTATTTTCTTTAAGGATTTGGAACTACAATTCACAGTTGAAGTTTACTTGATAATTTTGATTGGAATTTCGAAAACTGTGGGTAAAGAGAAATTCAGCTAAAATTTTTATAAAAAAAAAATCCCTTTTTAAATAATTCCGAACAGTTATTCTGCAGAGAAGTGTAATTCAGCCACTTTTTATGGATTCGTTAAGCAATACAATATCAAAAATAATAATTCAGCTAACTTTTTCTTTGAAGAATTTCAGTTCAGCAAACATTTACTTTGAAAATTTTCAATGCCAACTATTTCTTTTCCATTATCTACTAAAAATCATTCGGTTAGCTTTTTCTAAAAAAAAATATTTTGATTGAAAAAGTCAATATAAATCAATTCAGAAAATTTAGTGTTATAATAATACAACTTTAGATATTTTTTTCTAATGAAAAAAATCAATTCAGCTAACGTTTCCTGTACTGTAATTCAATTCAGCAAATTTAATTTTTAACATAATTTTATTTTACATGTTTTTCTACTTATTCAGCCAACACTTTCAGCAGTTCAAAATAATTCAGCAGAATTTTTCTACAAACATTTTGATTCAGCAACATTTTTTTCGTTAGAAAAATTCAATTCAGATTTTGCATTATATAATATAATTATATAATAATATAATTTTTCTAATGAAAAAAAATCAATTGCAAAGTTAAATTCAGCAAAATAATATTTTCATAAAGGAAATTCACCGTTTATTTATTTTATTTTTTTGTGGAAAAGTTATTTTAGTTTACATGTTTTTCTACTTATTCAGCTACCACGTTCTGTAGTTCAAAATAATCCAGCTACATTTTGTAGTAAAATTTAAATTCAGCAACATTTCTGTCTTTCAAAAATTCAATTTTTACATTTTATTGTATGAACAAATTAATTCAAAGCAATTCAGCAAAGTTATTTTTTTCTAAAAATACAAATTTTGAAATGTTTTCTAAAAAAATCTATTCAGCTAGCTTTTTACTTTACTATAATTCAATTCAACAAGTTTTAAAATATGTTAATGTAACAAATGTATATTTCGAAGAAAAAGAATCCATAAAAAATTCTATTCAGATAAAGTTTTTATGTGAAAAGTAATTTTATCTGAAAATTTCCAAAAAATATAAATTCAGCAATAATTTTATTTTAAAAAAGCAATTCAGCCAAAGGTTTTCATAAATAAAACAACCTGATATATCGAAAATGATAATTCAGCAAGTATTTTTTTTATTGAAAAACATCAATTCAGACAAAATTTTAAATTATGAAATAACTATTTGGTAGAACGAATTGATATTTTTTCACATATAAACTCAAACCGGAAGGCGTTCTATTAAAAAAAAATAAATTCAGCCAATTTTTTTTTTAAATAAACTACTTCAGAAATTTTTTTTCTATAGAATAAATTTAATTCAGCATACGTATATATTAGATAAAGACAATTCAGCAGCATAACCTAGCATTTCTTTCGAAAAAATATAAAATCAGCAAACATTTTCTTTTAAATAATTTGGTAGAACGAATTGATATTTTTCCACATATACACACAATTCAGCAGGCATTCTTTTGAGAAAAATGTTAATTCAGCTAAATTTTTCTAAAATAACCCACTTCAAAAAGACAATTCAGCAATATAACCTAAAATATAATTCGAAAAAAGTGAATTCAGCACACTTTAATCATATATAACGACAATTCAGCGATTTAACCAAAAGTTTCTGTCAATTCAGCAAACCATCATTAATAAAAATCAATTCAGCAAAATGTTTTTTTTAGAATTCCTTATATATAGAAAAGACAATTCAGCAAATATTCGCCAAAGAAAAATATCAAATTTAGCAAAATTTGTGTGGAACATTTGTATTCAGCAAACGTAAGTATTTACAAAATTAAATTTAGCAAATGATTCTCTAGGAAAAAGTATTCAACAACAAGGTTTTGCTGTGGAAATAACCAATTCAGCTTTGAAATTACTGAGTTCAGCAAACTTTTTTTATGGAAAATTAATTTTTTCATTTTTAGCTAACATTTCTGTGAGTTAAACAAATTCAGCTAACATTTGCTATCAAAAGTATCGAATTTCTTTAAATATATTTTAATTCAGCTAACATTTTCTTTAGAAAATATTAATTCAGCTACATATTTCTATGCAAAATATCGATTAAGCCATCTCATTAATATGAAATTTAAATTTAGGAATAGCAGGAATTTGGAAAAAATCAATTCAGCTAAGTATTTTATAAAAAAAGCTATAAATAAGTTCTGCAAATTTAATTATATAAAAGTACTCAATTCAGTCAAGTAGTTTTAAAAACTCGCCCTATAAAAATATTTTTTCAATAAAAATACCCAATAACTAAATTTATTAACACAATTCAGCAAAGTTTTTTTTCGTTATATCACATCTTTATTAAAATCCATTTTTTAACATTTGTTGTGTCTATTGACCTTTTAATAATTCTCTTCCAAGAATGGAGCTGGAGTTGGATTACACTTCCTCTTGCTGTTGGACAACATACCGAGCATGCTCCAGATTTTCTTACCCTTCATCATTTGATTGACACGTGGTACAATAACCTGTTCAATGGTATCGCTAATCTTGCGCTGGTTACCGTTAATAATTGCGGGAACCAAATAATCGATTTGGTCATTGACAAATTCATTGATACGGCCATTACCCAAAATGCCACCAATGTTGGAGCGGACACCACCCAACGTCACAGTACATTCGAATTTGTAAATTTTAATCGAACCGAAAATGAAGGGCATCTTATATTTGAATTGACCCTGAAGCGATAGATTTTCCAAAGCGAATTCCATGGGACCGGAACCTTCATAACGCACCGAGATACCCAATTCTCTCATCAAATCAACAAAGGTGTCGGTGTTGAGGACGGAAGCCTTAGCCTTCAATTCCTTGAAATTGAAATGGAACTTGACTTTCTTATTGAAAGTGTAGGAGACCTTCAATTTTTTGATTTCCATATCATCCAAACCATCGAAACGGAATTTAAGGGCTTGAACAATGGAACTATAGACAAGAGAGAGGGAAAGAGAGAGAAAGAAGAAAAAATATTAGTAGTGATTAAAGAAATCCCTTAAAGTTTTGACTTACTCAACAAAGGATTGAACAACATGGATTTCCAAATCGGGATTGGTATAGGGAGCCAATGGAGGAATACCATATTCAGGCCAACCGCAGGGCATTTGATTCACGAAATTCCTAACGGCCTTCTTGGCTTGAGAGTTTAAGATTAAACCTTTGGTTTCGACATCAATGGCTATAGGAATAATATGGTATTAGTAGATGGAACTAATGGTTAGGTAATGAAGCTACGAAGTGAAGAATATTGTCAAACGGGAAAATGGGCGACCATTGAAATAACTTCGGAAAATTTTTCTCGTAGATATTGTACTGATTGTCAATTCTCAGTTTGTAGGTTAGAGAGCCATCAGCCGTCTCACAAACAAACTACGGGATTGGCGCTAAATGAAATGGTATTCCCAACCTAACTTTATATTCGTGACAACAAGTCGCATTTTGCTCAATATAATTCCAAATCCTTAAATATTCAGCTTTTAGACCAGGGATGCACGTCCTTGCACTCTAGCGGTCAGCTCAACTCACACGGATTCTCATTTGTTTAGTCGTCGTTGAGACTTCAACGAGTAAACATGTCTATGGTGGTGTGCTCCTAGACCACAAAAGAATCAATAAAACTTCCTTTCGAATTTGATTTTTAAAGATTGAAGATGGACAGCGATGGTGACGACGTAAAAAAGACCGAACTTTGTAATTTAATTAAATTCTTTTAATTTCATTCACACCGATGGAAAGCACATGTTTGACGTGTGTGGACCGCTTTAGCTTTGTGTACTAGTCTAACAAATACATTTACAAATTGCCATCCTCTCACCGTGTGCATCCCTGTTTTAGACCAATATGAATATGTTTTAGGTTGGTAAATCGAATTCAATTATTACTAAGAAGTTGGCAAGACGAAGTTTATGTTGTAGATACATATTGATTGTAAGGAAACTATAGTTTTGAAAAGTTAGTTGGCAAGCCTTGAATTGCGTTACCAACTAAATTAGATATTTTCATACTATGCGTTACCGATCAATTTCAATAATTTTTTGGGAAAAATTAAATTAAAATTAATTTTTTTAGTTACAGTTTTTAGTAAGCTAAGCCAAAGTGTTCCCTTAATTAAACACATAACTAAAATCATATATATTCGAATCCTAGACTTTATTTAAATATATATTTTTGATATCGACATAGAATTCACATTCCATTTTATTTTACCTTTCGAAAGCTAATCTTGTTTATCATACGATAAACATCAACAGATGCCAACCGGGCTCAAGCTTAATTTTTTGAGTTATAGCAAAGAGTTGGCAACCTAAAGCTTAGCTTTGATATTGCCAACAGTTTTGCGGATCAAACAATTCACAGAAAATCTTTTTACGAAATGATTTGGATAGATAACATCCAGGATTTTATTAATTTCTCGTTCGAGATGAGCTAGATGATCGGAGTTGCAATGAAAAGGAAAACCAGAGAGATACTACATTCCCACCACTATGCGACGCGTTTAGCCGTTGGTTAAGCGGCTCATCAGGCATATTGGGCAATGTGGCTTACAAATGTCTTTACTTGATAAGTTGTATTTATGTCTACTATTGTTGCGAAATTGCATCTACGAATTAAATTCAATCGTGTCAAGGTTCGGACATTTGGTATCACACCAGAACATTCCTTTTCAGAGCAGATTTTTCTTGTAGTGACGGACTTTTTTCCATACCGACTACAATATTTTTCTTCAATGGTATACAACTGCATATTGTGCAACCTTAGGAAGATAAGGAGGTGGCTTTGAACGCTAAGGCGTCGGACATCAACAGATGCCATGCCATGGGAACCAGGGTTTAAATCCCAGCCGGGCTCAAGCTGAATTTTTTGAGTTTTGTTGTTATGCCTTTTTAGGGCGAAGGATCATTCATGTAAATGTTTTTTATTGATTTCTCTTTCTAGATGAGCTACATGATCGGAGTTGCAATGAAAAGGAAAGCCAGAGAGATACTACATTCCCACCACTATGCGACGCGTTTCGCCGTTGGTTAAGCGGCTCATCAAGTTGTACTTGATAAGTTGTATTTATGTCGACTATTGTTGCGAAATTGTATCTACGAACTAAATTCAAACGTGTCAAGGTTCGGACAGGTTACAGGATTTTATTCTATCTAGAAACTTTTCTTTATAACACAAAATTTCCGGACACAACTTGTGTAGATAGTTGGCAAATATTGTGAAACTATTAATGTGTTTAAAAAGAAATGCTTTATTATGGTATTGCCAACTTCACTAATTTTCTGTCTACAGATCATTATATAAACAGTAAGAGAGAAATGCAAGGGATAACATCTAGCAATTGAATTTATAGAAATTTGAAGAAGGAAACATTTGAGAATAGACAATTTGAAGCATGTATACTTCTGTCGATAATAAATATAACTCAATCCTCGAACACCATTTATGTTGATAGTTGGCAAGTATTAAGAAACTAATAACGAGTTGGCAAAGTGGAGCAACATGATTTATTCCCCAATTAAATATATGAATAGGTGGCAATACGAACACGTTACCAACTAATTAAAGCATCAAACAGAGATCTGAAGGATTACACTTTTCTCATGAATTTGCGAAAATGAGCTGAAGTTAATGGATTTTTGGGAATACAAATTAAATAATTTGATAGTTGGCAATATGATCGAATTGCCAACTAATATTAAATATCAGCTGATTTAATTTATACTGAACAAAACCATAAGAAGGAAACTATTTCAAAGAAAATGTGGAGCAAAGGAGCGAAAAAAAAACAGATTTGATACTAAAATTTCCTTTTGCGGAATAGCCCCTTTGAACTAGTTGTCTGTGGAACAACTAATTTCTAATAAACTACATGTTTTTGGCAGTCTGTACGAATGGAATAATTTTTAAATATTATCTTAAAGTAGTGGTAATACAAATTCGTCATAATATTGTCAGGACGAAAAGCAGCGATTTGTAGGAAGCGGTTCCGTTTTTTTTAGTTCCTTTCTGCAAAATGAACTACTTTATTCATTTAGTTCCATAGTTCCATCGCTCATTGATACACATCTGTTAATTCGGCCAATGAACTGGATGATCTACATGAACGATTGGAACTAGGTGAACGAAAAGGAACTAGGAACAATCGATAAGATTTGTTCCGTAACAACTCAACTTTATTGTGATTTCTTGCGTCTATTTTCCATGACAAAGCTTCTACTTTTTTTAGAGATACATTTGTAGGACTAATGAACCTTTAAGTTGCCACAAGATAGATTGAAATTATTAACGAGATAAAGGCAGGAAACCTTCATAGACGAATTGGGCCAAACAAATATTTAAAGGATTATTTTTAAATCTGCATAAAACTGGAAGTCTACATTGGTGAGCTGGCGGGAGCCAGGTATCCTTTGTAGATGTGCGGTATGTTTAGAGATATTTCTAAAGATATGAAGAGCCAGGGAGTCTTTACAGACGAGTAAAAAAAGGGAACCGATCCCAGCTACCAGAATAGGAAGGAATTTCTATAGCAGAGTCGAAGGCAGTAACTCGTTATGGACGAATTTAAGCAGAAATACTATATACATAAAAACTGGAGCCAAAGATTATTTGTTGAAAAACTGAAAGCAGGAAGTTTATATGTACGATCCCTGAAGGTAGCTAAGGGTTCTTTGTAGATGAGTTGATAGGACAGAAGAAGTATTTACAAGTTATGTGAAGGGCAAGGGAACATTTATATATGCGTTGAAACCGGACCTGAATCGGAAGGTGTCTCTATAGAAGATCTGAATGCAGTGACTTTTAATGGGCGAACTTAAGCAGGATATAGACGATAGAACGACAAAGACAATCTCTAAAGGGAGCTATAAATTCTTTGTAGATGAGAAGAAGAGTCAGAGCTATTTATAAATGACGTGAAGGATCAGAGGAGACCAAAATAGAAGGTAGTTTCCAAGTTAAATACAGTGATTTTTTACAGGTGACCTTAAGTAAGAACTCGATATCAAAATACGAGCTGAAGCCAAGGATTAATTGTACCATGGAGATCAGAATACAAAAAATTAATGGAGTGTTTTTTATAGGTGAACTTAAGTAGGAAACCCTTCGACGAGCTGAAGGGAGCTAAGGATCAGGGTCAGAGGAATTTATGAATAATCTGAAGGACCAGTAAGTCTTTATAGTTAAAAAGAAAGTATATCTAGGCGAGAACAATAGAAGTGAGGTAAGCTTAAGCAGGAATTCTATAGACAAGCTGAAGAGAGTATCTATAGAAAATCGGAAATACGACGCATATTCGACTGGCGACCTTTATAGGCAAGATTAGATAATATAGTCTTTATATACAGATGTATGATAGTAATTACTTCAAAGCGAGATGATATTGATTTTTTTTTAATTCAGTCTATATAGTCCTCCTGCAATAGGATATATAATAGGTACATTCGAGCTAAGGACAGAAAATAGGTACATTGAGAGTCTCTATAGAAGACTTACTGGCGAGCTGCAATGTCATGAACGTATTATGAGTCGACGAGCTGAAGCAATATAGTCTCTTTAGATGAGTGTAGGACACTATGTCCTTCACTTTATGAGATAACGGATGTACGGATTCTTTATAGACGCTTTGGTGGTGTATACCTTGTATTCGAGCTGAAGGACGAAAATTATGCTAGATGAAAGGAGGGGATTATTTCGGAATATTTTTGCAAAAATGAGCCCTAACAAGGTTTTAGATCTTGAGTTTTAATAAAGATACAAATTATATATTTTTGGCTGTACTACCAAAAAAAAAATGTTCAAAGTCAGGATGGGTAGGCACTTTGATGAATATTCTCTCATACTTAACATTCGACATTTTCTCGAAAACCTTCCTTAACTCAATAATAAACAATAACTTGAACATACTATTATTTACTATTTTAACACTTCTTAACAAAGTTTTTGATTCCCAAAACAATTATCTCAAACGTTTTTTTTTTAATAAAAATTTATTACAGCACTACGATTTTCAAGTGTCGCCACATTTCTTCTTGTTTTTCTTTCGGTATATAATTAAAAAATCAATATCTGACAATATATTCATTCACAAATCACACAGAAAATTTACTACTACTCACTCTCATCGTTCATGAATTGGTCCCATTGTTCTTCGGTTAAGAATTCGACTTCGTAGGCTGCAACGCAGGCCAACAAGGCCACAAAGACGACAAAAAATTTCATTTTCGAAATGAAATAGAATACAAGGATTACAATTTGTTAGAAGTGCGCACCAAAAATTTACAATTTTGATAGCTGTCATTTGTGGTGCATTGCATGGTTTATATACCCGGTAGACGGCCAGCTGTGCGATTAGTGTCCACTTTGACATATTCTTATCCATCAAATGAAGTACCCCCCGCTAACTGCTGGTGTACTTAGACATTATAAAAGTCAATTTATTTTTAAATTTATGATCTATAAAAATACAAGCATTTTGATTAAATGATTTATTTTAGACTTGTTGACTTCTAGCCCAAAAGAGTACAACAAACAAGCTTATCTGTGCACGCTCGATTCTATTTTTTAAATTCTTGCGAATAATCAAAATCAGATAATCAACTATAAAATCTGGATCATAAAGGATTTTGCATTGACTCTGCGTAAAAAATATTCATATTGCTGATAAAATGCACTTTGTTTTATTTATTTTAGAAATAAATCGAAAAAAAAACAATATTTGCGGATCAAGTTTGAAGGTTGTTTTTGTGGGGGTCATAGATTATTGAATTTGAATTTTTATCACGTCGCCGATCCAGGAAATAGATAGTTGCAGTTAACAACACATTTAAAACAGCTAAAACTTTCCACCCTCGTCAGCCAGCATATCAAGTTATTTCTTGAAGGATCCAGAAACAAGTGAATACATTTTAATTTGTGAAAAATACTAATCTAATTTCAAAAACTAATAACTAAAAATAACAATTTATCTAAGATGTAAAAAAAATATTTAAGTAGTAACAAAATAATATTAGGGAATATTTTTTTAAATTTAAAAATTAAGGGCGGACTTTCTAAAGTATATTTTTCGAAACAGCCATATACCGAGATGTTTTAAAATATATCATTTTTGGAAGATAGATGAAACCATTACAAGCGTGGATTATCCAAGGCCTTGAACAATAATAACATATCTTTTTCAAGGCTTCCGTTTTTATACCCTACACAACTATGTTGTCAGGGTATTATAGCTTTGTGAAGGCCCAAAAGTTTGTAACGCCGCGAAATATTGGTCCTAGACCCACCTTTAAGTATACCGATCGTCATATCTCGACTAGCTGAGTCGATCTAGACATGTGTGTCCGTCCGTCCGTCTGTCCATTATAATTTGTAAACACGATACAGGCCACAGTTATGGACCAATCTTCACGAAATTTTGCATGTAGGATAGGTTCTGGCCATTTTTTTCTGGGCGCTCCAGAGGCCACAATAATGTCCCGAACATCGTGAAATTTTGCATGGAGAAGGGGATCGGGCCAAAGAATAAGCATGCCTGTTCGGTCAATATTTAGCGGGTTAAATGGACCCTGACTTTTGTGTGAAAAATTACAAAATTTGTATTCTATAGCGTATATATTTACCCCTGAAGGACATAGACCTGAGAAGTTGATATTATATCCAAGAGAAGTGGTTGACCTTTACATTAATACCAATTATATTGTTGTATGTGCTCGGATGTGGTAGTTACATCTAAATATTTACAGGTATCTCCGTATTCGTATATTATTTAATAACCCATTATCACCCTAGAGAGCGGAACTATATCGCTAATCGCTTTAAAATGTTCCATGAGGTTCCAGTTATGGTCAAGGACAACGACTATAATTTTCGGTGATGATGAGATAATAATTTTGGAATGAAGTGGACCGAAAACTTAATTTTTTGTGTTATTTTCTAGTCGATCTATAGATCACAAATGAAAGCCGAACAGCACAACACAACCCACGGTGAAGGGAATCTGGACAATAGCTGTACTGAATACTCGTAATATTCGGAAAATATGTCAGTGTGAGGAAGAGGAGCTGTTTACCTCTAATCGGGCAATAGGGTGCAAATATCACGAAATATTTCCCAGGCTCGGAATAAACATCCGCAGAAAATTTAAGTTCTGTGGTAGTTGTGTAGGGTATCGTATGGTCGGCCTTGTCCGACTATACTGCTCCGCTCACTGGTTAAAGAATACTTTTATCAAAATTAAATACTATTAAATTTGTCATTCCTTTTGTCACACCACGAAATATTCACTTCCGATCCCCATAAAATCAAAATCTATGCCGATTTGGTCATGTTCTTCTACCACTCCGCCTATCCGTCTATGGAAATCACGATAGAGCTCGTGATACTGAAGAGATCGCTTTGAAATTTTGAATATACATGTTTATTACGCCTAGGATGTTTGTTATTGAAAATCGGACAAGTGTTCGGTATTTTAGGGGCTACTTGGTACATTTTTAACCAAATTGATTGTACTTAGAGTTTCTATTGATTTTTTTAACAAAAATTATGAATATTGGTCCAGTCGGTATTTGCCACGTTTTTCAATATAATTGCCTATTATTTAGTATTTTGAATTCACATTGGTTAGCAAATATCTATACCAAGAATTATCAAATATTAACCAAATTTTTATAATATCTATCTTCGGGCATATGTTTGTAACAGGCATATGTTTGTAACAGGCAAAAGGAAACGAGATAGACCCATGGTTCCTTTTGAGAATATGCATAGAATCACTTTTTAAGTCGATTTAAGCATGTCCGTCCGTCCGTCTGTCTGTCCATGTATTTTTGTGAGCAAAGTACAGGTCGCATTTATGATCCGAATTGTATGAAATTTGGCACAGCTCATTTGTTTGGCCCAAGGACGAACCCTATTGAAATTGGGAAAAATCGGTTCAGATTTAGATATAGCTCCCATATATATTTTCGTCCGATTTAAGGTGAATGGTGCACCAAAGTTCTTAAATAACTTTCGATTTGCACAAAATTTGGTATAACGTACTGAATTGGGCCTAGAATGATGTCTGCAAAATTTCGTGAAAATCGGTCCAGATTTAGATATAGCTCCCATATATAGTTTCATCCGAGTTCAGGTAAATGGTGCACCAAAATCCCTATATCTTTGGATTTGTACGAAATTTGGCATAACGTACTGAATTGAGCCTAGAGTGATGTCGGCCAAGTTTCGTGAAAATCGGTTCAGATTTAGATATAGCTCCTATATATAGTTTCGTCCGATTTCATGTAAATTGTGCACCAAAGTCCCTATATATCTTTCGATTTGCACGAAATTTTGCATAACGTACTGAATTGAGCCTAGAGTGATGTTTGCCAAGTTTCATGAAAGTCGGTCCAGATTTAGATATAGTTCCCATATAGTTTCGTCCGATTTAATGTAAATGGTGCACCACATGTATCCTTCGATTTGCACAAAATTTGGCATAACGTTCTGAATTGATGATGGAATGATGTGTGGAATGATTTTCGTCCGATTTAATCTAAATAATGTACCAAGTTCTTATGTTGCATAGCGTGTGCCAAGTTTAATGGAAATCGGTTGAGATTTATATATAGCTCCTTTATATTATAGATTGATTTTAATTAATTGACGCACCAATGAACCAATATATGGCTGATAGGAACAAAACGTACTGAAATTAGCATAACCTAATCTGTGACAAGTATATAGCATCCATATATAAGTAAATTGTGCATCAAACTCCTCATATTTGTTAGATAGACATCAAATTTTGAACAACGTACAAAATTGAGCATAGAATAACGTAGTTGGGTTTTCTAGAAGTACAGACCTATCCCAACGGATGACCTATTGATATTTGTTTGAAGTCGATTTACATACTTTTGTTCCATTGTAACAAACGAATGACATGTTTAAGGAAAAAATTGCCAAAAATTGTCGATATGGGCCTACTTTTTAGGATAGACCATATATAAGGGAATTTTGGAAACAAATTGGTATCAATTTGGTTCTCATTGTATGTTAAATCTTTCTGCCAAAAGTTTACCATGGCATAGCGTTTTTTTTTCATAGATTTTAAAATATATATATTTGAGCATTTAAACAATGTTTTAAATAGAAGGTATTGTCCTAGGGTCTTTGAAGCAAATTAGTTTTAGACAATTCGGAGTCGATTTAGTTAATAATATTTATTATTTTCTCAATAAGCGGAAACCAGCCTAGTCGGACGGGGCCAACCATACTATAACCTACACAAATACCACGCCACTACAACTTTCTGCGGATTTATATTCCTATCCTGACAACATTTCGACAGATTAGATGTCAACAGCTCCTCTTTCTTGCCCTGGCATATTTTCCGAATCTCGTTATGCCGTGGTGAACATTTATGGCTTAGAAAGTAAATTTTGAAATTTTACACAGAAAGTTATTGGTTACCACGCAACAATAACTTTCTGCGGATTTATATTCCTATCCTGACAACATTTCGCCAGATTAGAGGTCAACAGCTCCTCTTTCTTACCCTGACATATTTTCCGAATCTCTTTATGCCGTGGTGAACATTTATGGCTTAGAAAGTAAATTTTGAAAGTTTACACAGAAAGTTATTGGTTGATTTGACCGGGTGAATATTTGCCGATAATTATCAAAACAGCCGTTCCTAAATGAGCTACTACAAAAACAGACAATATTACATTTTCGGTCCAAATATTATCCGAACACCAAAAAATTATCCGAACTCCTATATTCGAGTACATACAGCCATATAATGGTATCAATTTAAACTCTGTCAAATTGCGGCTCTGTCGATTGCGGCCCATGTTCTTCAGGAGTAAATATGGAATACATATTTTATAATGTAAATTTTGCTATAAGCTAAAATGTCGTTATAAACGATATCAAATAATAGGCAGAACTTACATGTTCCTGTACTGCATCATTACAACAGTGCTTGTTGCTCATATCAACATTTGTTTGTTATATTATGTTTGGCAATTATATCGAAATAATTTGGAAAATACATATGCGAATTTTATAACACCAAAGCAGAGGTAGCAGTGTATGAAATAAACGAACAATCGAATGCTAAACTAGACAAACAAATGGTTGAGAAACTAATAACCATCAAGTGACGACACCAAAACAAAATCCATCCGAATAATAATTTTGGGAGGAATACATTTCTTATTGCCAAGAGAGAGAGA